AAGAAAACTCTGACTATAAAAGCATTATAGAAACACATCAGGCAGACTATGAAAAACTTGCAGACCAAAAGGATGCACTGGCAAGCAAAATCAATACTATTGCTGAGGAGAACAGAGCAGTGGAAAGCAAGTGTAGCAGTCTAGAGCAGGCTGTTGCTCAGCTACAAGTTGACTATCAAGAGGTGCTGGTTGAAAATGAACAGCTGAAGCAGAATGCTATACTCCTATCTAAATCACCAACACCTATTATCCTGCCCGAGAAATCAGAGTTACTCAGTACAATTCAAGATCTAGAGGATGGAAGTCTAGAAACTGATTCTTCAGAATATCAAGTAGTGTCCAATCTAGCTGATGAGCTGGCTAGAGTACCTCTATCAGAATCTTGGGACACAGATCGTTTCAATATGGAAAGCACACAGATTTCAGTATTTCAACAAGAGTCTTCAAGTGAAACTACTGATGATGAAATACTTCTGAAGACATCTCCATCTATCCCTGGACTTATATTGCATCCTCCTACATCTAGAGGTCACAGCCCAGTACAAAGTGATGATGATGAAATTCTGCTGCAATCTACTATGCAAAATGAAGAGGATACCAGTTCTGATGAGCTTTTATTGCGATCAGAGCAAACTGAAACCTCAAGTTCCAAAGACCTAGAGCAGGATATACCAGCTCAGGATAGTAGCTCTTATGAACTGCTTCATCATTCTCACACTACGGACATTGATGCATTTTCCGCCCCAGAAAATGCACAGAAAATTTGAAATTTTCTGAAGATCTTCTGAAGATTTTCCGAGGATTTTCTGTCACGGAAAATTTGGAATTTTCCATCAATCTTCCGAGAATCTTCTGGAAATGTTCCGGGTCAGAAGATTTCCAATTTTCTGTCACAGAAGATTTTCAGAAAATGTAGCACTCGGATCCGTGATCCGGCCGATGACATCTTTTCCGGCATATAAACTGGCTATCAAGGCAATCAGTCGGACCCAATCCTCCATTTGCTGCAATTAGATTACATGAATATGGTATACGATACATATATGCTACTTCATACTAAGTATTGTCTGCGCAGCCTCAACGCGCTGGCTATGGCATTAAGTGGGGCCCCCAGCAAGCACTACTACGCTGGTGGTCCCGTTTCCCAAGGGCAGCATTCAACCCTGTTGCTCGCTGTCGTCGACGTCAACAGCCGAGTATAATATCTCCAATAACGGTGAGAATTGACCTCTACCACTTCAAATAGCACTTACTGTCAGGCAGATCGCAACAACCGACAACTACAAGCTTGTCTGTTGACTGCAGTTGTGGGTGGTTTGCGCTGGGTAAAGAAAGTTAGAAGGATAGGAGATGGAACAATAACACACATTTTAAAAAGCCAGCTGCTCCACCTCGTAAGCGATTTATACCCCCAAAGCCCTTCGCTGATTCTCCAGCTCCTGCTGATGGCTAAAGACGTTCTCGATATTTGCAGCGTGGGTAGGCACCACAGCAGCCGTTTCGTTGGTGTTTCACGTCCATCTCCCACATATCCATGTTGGCCGCCGTTTGCAGAGCTGGAAGCGGCATCATTGGCCTGTTCGGCGTAGGGTCTGTCATGGGCAACCCGGGTCGTACCCAGGTCAATACCCGCAGGTAGTTGCGATTGAGGTCGATGACCCGCCCGTTCTTAATGTCGTGTTGACGCTGAGCTTGAAGTCTGTGTTGGTTGTTTTGGTATTTGTCTTTTGGCAGACCACGTAGAAAGTGGCGGCCGATACAGGCGAGGGAATGCATTGTGCAGCAGATCGACCGAATACTGTCGTAGAAAGACCGCATTCGTCACTGGCTCAGACATTTGTGAAGGGTCGTATAACGGCACTTGAATAGCGTTGATTTCGACCAGCTGGAATATGCGTTGGAGAACCTGGCTTTGCAGCCTGAACCCGCTCTTATGGTCTGCGTCTGTCAGAACAAAGAATATGTCCAAAATTGCACCAACTTGGAGGGGAAAAGAACTTACAACCAAGACCAATATCTGCGATGTCACGCATAGTATGCTTGATGGCCCAATTAATGCTGTCCATGAACAGCTTGAATTGCGGAGGGGTCATTGTAAAAGGGCTAGAGCAAATTGAGCGGACTTGGGCCTGACTATCTAGTAACTGACCAGGGAAGCAGCTCAGATTGATGGCTTTCAAAAGTTTGTAGAAGCCCGTGCGGTGTTCGGGGTACTCGGCGAAATCTTGATTGATCATATTCAACGTTGGCTCAAAGACTGCATCGAGAACGGCTGGCACTTGAGGTGTTAAAAGATTCTGCATTATCGTCAAAACTGACTAATAGACTGCGAAGAACAGTTGCTTATAGAGCAAACTGACGTTTTCAATACACCTGATGTACATCCTTCGCGCGCGCCGACACAAGGCTCGACCTAGAACCAGACAAACTCGACCCGCCTCACGGTACTTTGCTTGCGTTCGCAAACGACGGCGGCGTGAGTCTAAGTCCAGCCTCGTTTCCGTGAAAGTGGCGGAATTTGAGTGGGACCGAGTTGGGCCGTGACGCCGTAGAAGTTTCAAAGCCTGTCGTTGGGGGAAGGCGTGTCGGTTGGTGTGGAAACAATAAGAGTTGAGACCTGTACCGCCTTGTTAAACAGTTTGGGGACAGAACAAGACAAGAGACACACCTTTTTGTCGAAATCTCTTAGCTTGACGATCCCATCGAAATCCACCAACGACAGGAATTGTACTAGGCTTTCCAAGTTAGCGCAAGGTCATTGGCAAACATGACAACTCACCAAACGTCGCGTTGCATCACGAATGTTAAGACTTGCCCTCGATCGTCAAAGGAACGACGGGACTCTAGAGCTTGTTAGTACAGTCCCAAAATGCATCACAAAACTCACCATGTCGTTGTGGTCAAACTGACTTTGCGCGCATGCTCGCTGCGACAACCACCTGGGTGTCTGAAGACAACGGTAAATGAATCAGATGAGCAGAAAAGAGAAGGCGCACGTTTTCTCGATGCGCCGTTAGGCGCATGCATTGTGCTTGCCAGGCCCGCATGCACCGAGATAAACTCCCGCGTACTTCAAGACAACCACCTGGTTATTATTGAAGCGAAGGGAGGTGTCTAAATAGAAGTCAGCAAACGGTAAGTGAAGTATAACTTAGCAAACTCACATTTGCTTGATGCACATTCTCTGAGGTGCCTGACGGCGCATGCTTCGACCGATCTACACCCAGACAAACGAAACGCGCCTAACGGCGCTTTCCTCGTCGCGTTTGCAAACGACAGCAAACCCCCCACTTTCTCCACGACCACTTGGATATTGTTGCGGACAAGGGAGCTGTCTGAAGAGAAGTCAGCAAATGGTAAGTGAAGTACAACGAGCCAAACTCACCGTTTCTTGATGATGCGCCTGGCGGCGCATGCTTTGCGCTCGCCAACCAGACAAACTTGACGCGCCTAACGGCGCTTTCCTCGTGTTCGCAAACGACATCGATGGCGGCGGCGAGAGGGTGAACCTGGCGGATTTTGTTGCCATGAATCCGCCAAGTTCAAGTCCAGGGCGTTATGCACGCCTCCGGCGGCAAAATCCTGCGAAAAAGTAAGTTTTGAAAGGCAAAAAAACGACGCTGAAAGTGCTTACGTAATCGCAGTATATAGGCAAAATTCACCCTGGTTTTCGCGCAAAATTGGGCGCGTTGGTAGCGGAGGTTGAGCCAGAGTCAGGCCGGAGACTGACGTTAGCATCCCAGATAGCTTCCAAAACGTGTCGTTGTTTGCGTGTGGGGCGGGGCGTTTCGGTTGTGTAGAAATAACAAGACCTGGGACGTGGACAGACTTGTGAGAGAAGTTTGGGCACAAAATCAACAACGGACGCACCTTTTTGCCAAATTCTTCCAGCTGAATGACCCCAGCAACCCACCCTTCGCTTGCACTGGTCGTAATCTGGTCGCGGATGTCGTCAGGCATCCTAGCATTGACCGTTTAATAGGCGGGTTGGCACCATACACGGTAACACACCTTAAAAAAAGCCCAACATGGCAGTGGTCGAGCCCTACGCGGGCATTGGACTTGATGTTAGTGAAGGATGAGCGCCGAGCTGCAACATGGTAAGCAAGTGTTGACACGGAGCCAGAAGACTGACCGTGGCTGGTCGTGGTCAAAAGACAAGTCACGATTCGTGTGACGACACGCGATAATCTTGACTTCAGCCTTGTCGGCACTCTCAATCTCCCGCCTCAAGGCTGCATCCGGCAAACGAACAAGCACTCAGGCGCTCTCTCTCAAGCTTGCTCGGGCGCTCTCGGGCCTTGTCTCACGAAGTCTACGGCTACCACGACATCAAGACCACCTCTTCAACCCGGAGACGATGCGAGCTCGGCCCGGCAGGTGTTCAGCGCACCAACTTATCGACCGTTCTCCCGGCAACAACAGCCTTTTGCGATCTCTTCAAGTCCCGGCAACGGCTGCTACCGCACCGGTCAATGTGCTCACAAGCCGAAGAAATGGGAACAGAAGACGCAGCCAACCACCGTCTGCCCGGGCGTTGACTCAGACGACGATCACATTCTTCTTGGGAATGAGCCCAAGAACAGAGTACAACACCCACAACTCGCCGGAGAACAACTTCACCGACTCGTCGCCAAACCCAGCGACCATCATTACCGCCAACGAAGACGGGGACAACGACGAGCGTTGTAGGCGATGAGAAGAACGCGCCGAGTACGGAAACTTGCCAGTGAAAGGTCAGTCCATACTGTCAATATGGGGAACGACCACTGACCAGTTTTGCAGGGCCCGAACAACGCAAACCCAACCCCGACAACTCTGCCTCGTCCTCGTCGTCTACAGCGTTTACGACCACCCCAACGCCTGCTGCAATCCATCGTTGGGTTGTGTGGAGAACTTGCGAGCAAGGTCAGTCCAGCTGTCAATGTGGACAACAAACCACTCACCAGTTGTGAAGGTCGCGGCGACGTCAACATCTTTGGCAACACCATTGACTCTGTATGCCCCGCCATCGTCTCCAGCTTTCACAACGAAGCCCAATGGCGCTGACAAGGAGGGCGGGAACTGGTGGATGGATGGTGAGGACGATGGCAGGCTCGGGCGTTCGGTTGTGCCTCCGAAGTTGGGCCTCCTGGGTGCTCCCCACCGCCTTCTACTTCCTTTGCTACTTCGACATGCGGGACATCCTCAACTCGCCCCAGTGGCCCCTCCTCAGTCCCGTCGACCAAGAAACGACCATAGTGAGCTACACCAAACAGCGCCTGGCCTGTCCCCCTATTCTCCCATTCCTTCGCATCCCATTTGTCAAGGGCTGCACCAGTCTCAAGGAGTGTGACGATTACCGCATTCAAAACCTTGCAAACGTGCATAACTGGAATATTTCCGATCCCCTGTGGAGCTATCGAGACTGGACGCCGTTCGAGAACCTTATTTGCGCGTACTGCCTGAAGCAGGCGGAAGAGTACCATCGGCAGGCAAGGAGGAAACTTTGGGACAAGTTGCCTGAGATCTATGGGCTTCCTAGCTGGGAAGAGTTGGCGTCACCTCCTTACATTCAGACTTACGACTCTGCATTCAGTTCACGTTTTGCGTCGATCGGAATCATCGGACCAGGTCGACATGAGCGATCCTCGCAACAGATTTCAACAACAACGTCAAAGGAGAACAATTTAGGAATGGAATGGAGTCTGTACTGGGTGTGAGTGGTTTTTTCGGCTGCATACCTAAAAGTTAGACGAGGACAGACAGGTGTCTTCAACTTAGACGGCGACCTGTGGTCTTTCCATCGCTCCATGTCCAGGTAAGACTGTTGGCTTTCTTCTTCATAATTTACTCAACTCCTCAGGCCCTACTTCAGCCGGGATCGGGCTCGCCACTTCTAAATTTTTGACCGTCATGCTACCCAAGCTATCTCGCTCATCAAACAACGCATGCGTGAAGGACTTACCGTAGACTTTCAGGTTCAGCTACTTTTAGAATAAACCTTGTTCCTCTCTCATGCCGCTGACAGGAACTCATTAGTCGCTTCACCATGGATTCGGTCCAGCTGGGAGAGACACTACAATGAGCGGTTTGACCTCCACCATATACTAGTTGGTTGTCGGTTTTGGATGTGGCACCATCGACTGATATAACTTGTCAAGCCTCACACGACATTCCAATGTGCTCAGCCGCCTTCGAGGAGAGATATTGGACTACATTGGTCCGACGAATGCTCCGACATACGATGATATCAAGAAAATGAAGTACCTCCGAGCCGTTCTCAATGGTACTTTTTCTCTCGATTTAGCTTCTCAAATGCTTACCGAATACCAACTAGAAACAATGTGAATATACCCTCCGAGTCCTGTGTGCGTGGGAATCTCATGATCAGGACATCTTACGCACCCACTGATTGCCCTTCAGGCCATTCAATGTTCGGTAGGGCATCTGCTCATGCATTGGAGGAAGGACTTGTGGGGAGACGGTACGATACCTTTCAAATAACATAAAAATCACTCAATATCGCTTGCTTCAGCGGAGGAGTTTGACCCCAACCGATTCATTGACGAACGACTTCAAAAATATCTGGTCTCGAATTCATTCCAGTTTCTCCCGTACGTTGTCGATGCTGTGACCAGCCCAAGCTTATAAACATCATGCATAGCTTCAACGCTGGGCCACGGATCTGTCTCGGTCAACAATTTGCCTACAACGAGATGTCCTTCCTAGACAAATACGGAGATGAATGCTCGAGGGTGGCAGCATACAGCCAGCAGCTGCAGCAGCCAGCCACATCTGCGACGCCACATTATCCAGGCAAACACATTGGTCATCTCCACCCACGCGCGGGAACCGGATTGAATCGGGATTGAAGTGTGCTCAGCTGGCTATGCTGAAATGACACAAGCGATGGGGGCCAAAATAAGCGAGGGATTGGAAGGAATTTTGTGACTAGAGTCTGGACATGGAAGAGGATAGGCTGGACACCACAAAAAACGTCATCTGGAATTACACTGACGCTGTGTCGACCTTGTGTGTCTCCGACGATCATGTACATAATCGTCCCAAAGCTCTACTTATCTTGATTTTTATCAGGCTTGCGAGCGGGTTCGAACAACATTGGACCAATTGGAGCCAGAGGTGGACATTTTGGGTTTCGTGCCGGGGAATATCATTCCCCAACTCGACTCTTCCAAACAATGCCACTACCAGTACTCTCGCATTCAATTCAATACCGCCTGCCCCGCGATACCAGTCAAACCAGAATTCACCGAACAAAAAAGATGTGTTTCAACGGCCCCGCGAAGCCAATGTTGAGGCAGCTACCGCCAGACCTGTACCCGTTCTGAAGACCGTGCAATTACGGATTAAGTAATCAGTGTTTCAAGACAGTGTAACATTGTGACACACGACTCACAAGTCAACACCACGGCAACTTCCGCCCACATCCTCAAGCAGGACTACCGCGCACCACTCTTGCCGTTGAGCAGGATCTGGGCACATGCTATGCTCGTCCGACTTTACTCAACGCCCAGGCAGCGTGCCTTGGACCAGGGCCGGGAACGTGTCGCTGACATGCTGTCTTGCCCTTCTCCCGCTCTGCCATGTCTCCCGCCGCATGAAAAACTGGCTGCAATATCTATGCTGCTGTGCCCGGCAAGGTGGCCGCCCGCCCAGGACATATCAAATCGACGCGACTTGATACATAGTAATTACAACGTCGTTAACGATGAGCAGAAGGACCAACTTGCCAGACGACTTGCCAGACGACCGCCGAACTAGGGTCTGTCACGGTCAGCATCTACCCAGGCACCTGCTGGTCATCACCTGCGGGTATTGACCCGGGCAGGGCGGGTACGGGCAGCCCCTTGTGCAAGCTCAGCACCCACCGCTTTTATCGGCCAAAAATTCGGGTGCCTGGGTAAATACCCACGGGCAGTCTACCCAGGTGTGTCCGCTACCCGCTGAGCCATACCCGGGCGGGTCATCGACCTCAATCGCAATTACCTGCGGGTATTGACCTGGGTACGACCCGGGTTGCCCGTGACAAACCCTACGGGGTTAGCAGTGCGTCTTCCCATCTTCTTATATTTGCTTGTTGATGAGTTTTTCAATAGATTAGCGCGACCCATCTCCAATGACAGTGAACAACGAGACATTCCAAGAGGCCTACCAATGTAGTACCATAGTGCGTGGTTCTCCAATACTTGTCAACTCATGAATGACGGCTTGCACCAGTCAAGGAGTGCGACTGCTCCAGCCATACGGTCACAATTCGCTTGACTCGCTCGCTCGACTGATATTATTCCGACGAGCCCACTTTGATCCTGCAACATCCTTTCGTCCTCGCATTCTACGCTGAAATCCTCACCACCTGCGTTTGTTCTCCGAGACCACCCTGGATCTTGTTTGAATACCGGAAACACATCTTGTTCTTCTTACCTACCGGAGGTGTCGAGAGGCATCAGATCCCGTTCCTTTGACACTTTTAATATACTCCCCCGCCATGTCTTTTCCTGATACAACTGGCTCCATCGTCGACGCTCGATGTTGTTGTTCTTGTCGCCATCTTTTCCTACGTCACGACACACATCCTTACTGTCAGCGAAGCGATTTTTGCGTATCGGACGCTCGCGAGGCGGGTCATGCCGCAAGCAAAGCGTATACGCTTGCTGCCCGTGCTCGGGCCAGAAGAAGAATGGCGGGTGGTAGCAAACATACGGGAACGGGAACTGGAGAGCGCCAAAGAGGAGGCGCGGTTGAGCGATCTGGTGGTGCGGGAGTATGCGGGTTTCGTCAGGACGCTCGAGGGCCGCAAAAGCACAGCATCGCTTGCAACAAGCCCGGTCATCAAGACTTTTCATGACAGACTATGTACCACCGTGGTCGAGCCCAAGGAGACTATCGAGTCGCAAAAGACCCAGTTAGCGGAGTTGAAGTCCGCTTTAACAACGCAAGCTGCTGAATATCTTGCTCATCGAAAAAGACCGGTACGAGACAAATGCCAGATTCGGTGCCGCCATGCCCTCACAGTAGAACTCGGGGATCAGTCCAAAGTCAGTCCGCTAACGCTAACTGGCAAAGAACGAGACGACTCACGATACTTCCAGAATCCGGAGTCAACCTCACGCTCGTCTTCTTCGATGGGTGCCGCCCGGGCCGTGCCGAAGCCTGGAAGAGCAAGAGAGAATTGAGTTTTCAAATTTGTGCGTGTGCATTGCTCAAGGGTTTGCAGCTGACGGGACTGTCATGCCAGCCTGAGTGCGCCGTTGTAGTTCGATCCTGGCGGGGTCAACGGCTTGCATTTCCTTGGGCACATCGCCAACACACGCTCGAGTTTGACGGCGCCGCCACTCAGTGGGTGAACAAGATTGTCCACATGAGACAAGGCTAAGTAGTAAGCTGAAGAAGAGTGAGAGCGGAAGCAAACAGTGCGTGCTGTCACATCGCTCTCTCTTTTTCGACCACAGTCTCCTAGGTTGCAACTCTTGCGACTCGCAAGTGCCGCTTTTACTCGAGTCAAAGTCGGGCGAGCAATCGACACTGCTTCTCAGAATGCCCAAACCTTGCCGCCTGAACTCGACAGCAATTTGTTGGCTCAAACTCAGCCCTGCGAATCAAGAAACGGCCAACGCCAAGACCCGGGCCCTGACTGCTGGGCGACGCCGGCCAGGCCAGCACAAACCCTATAAGGTATGTTATTCTTTTGCGGCTTTTCCTATCTGGATGAGGAAACTCACCATTCATTCAGCTTGCGAATGCTGCCCGGCTCCCTCAACGGCCAGCGAAAGCTCACAAAGCATATGTAGGTCACACCCGGCTGGCTTGGCCTTTACTCGTGCACGTGCAACTCAAGACTGCCGCCTGCCATGTTTCCAAGTCTCTGCGGCACGAGTGTTTCCAGGGCAACTGTTAACTCGGCGGTATGTTATGCTGTCGTTTTGAAGGAAACTCATCCTTAATTTCAAAGCATTGCCCAGGCGTTACCTTCGTCAAAACCAGCGGCCACGCAAACGGCAAAGCCTCAGCCACGGCCGGCTGTCTTTACCTTCCTCCGTGCGTGCAACTCGCGACTGAACGACTAGATACGGACTACTCGGACAGCACAAGCCCCGGCCCGCGATATCCCAAAGCAACACATTACAATAAAAGGGATTGGTTTGGCTGCGAAGGCCGTGAGGCTAATGCGTAATTTCCCACAAGTCAGCTGACTAACTCAGAGGTTTGGCAGCACCTGCCGGGGCCGATTTGAGCATGGAGACGGGCCTGTGCATACTCGATTTTTTGTCAGTTTGACGATAAGTACGACCAGCCCGCAAACTGTTCGGTTCAAGTTGTACAGAAACATGTGGTCATCGAGTCGCCCTTCGCTGCTTGGAAGGCGCGCTAGTATCCGCATTACAACGCAACCCCGCGAATCCGAGCTGTAAACAAGCCCATGCTGCACAAATCAACTCACCGGAAAATCAGCATCCCGGGCACGTGTCACTGACACGCTGTCTTCCCCTGCCCTTCTAAGTTCTCTCGCTCTGCCATGTCTCCCCGCCGCAAGCAAGACCGACCGCGATATTTACGCTGCCGTGCCCGGCAAGGTGGCCGCCCGGGACACATGAAATCAACGCAACTTAAAACGGCGGTTAGCAACACCGTTAACGATGAGCGGATTCAGTGGCAGAAGGACCAACCTGTCGACCGCGGGCCAACAACGCTGCCTCCAACTCTGTAAACAGCGGCCAGCACGGACATGCGTAGGGGAGATGGACGTGAAACACCAACGAAACTGCTGCTGTAGTGCCCAGAAAACCCATGCTGCAAACATCGAGAATGTCTTTAGCCACGAGCAAAATCAGCGGAGGGCTTTGACCGCACAAATGGCTTACGAGGTGGAGCAGCTGGCTTTTTTAAAACGTGTGTTATCATTCCATCTACTATTAATTACAGTCTTCTAACTTTACCCAGCGCAAAAACCACTCACCGCACCATGCTCGGCTTCGTTGTACCGCCAAGCTGGGTAAATGCCAGCTTAGTATTGAGACGAGCCCTTTTAGCCACCACCTGCTGCCGATAACACATGTTCCTGATTTTCTGAACCCGTAAGTCAGCCCTTTGGCATTTGAGCAGACTTGTCGTTGTCAGCAAGTGAGTTACCGCTGCTCGGCCTTTGGCTGGCCTCTGGAGACGTGTTGTTGGTGCTTGCGCGGCGGAGGACAAAGGTGAGTCGGCATCTTGATCCCCCGTTGTCTTGCTGACTAGTTGTGTTGGCCAGTTCTCCTACAGTCAAAGGACACGGAAGTTGGCAACGGGTTATAATTATGAGTCAGGACCTAGGCACTGGTGAGTTTCAATGTTTCCATGGCCTTTCCGTTGTGATAAAGCGAGTGGCGACACCTTCAGGAACTGGGTCGCGCCAGGCATTCAACTGCATGGCCAAATTGCCAGGGCCCGGGGCCTGCAGCCGCTCAAATTCCCTCGAGCATCTCGGCGCCAACACCTGCCGCCCTGGGATGTGTCTATTCACAACAACTGCGGGTGGGACAGCAAGCTACATAGATAGCAACAACGATAAGACACCGCCCCGGTAACGAGCCTGGCAACCTTCTCACGTTCGAAGCAGTGAGTGTGGCCTCGCCAACGCTGCGTTCCGGCCTCAACCATCACCTGCCATAACCCTGCCCTGCCTCAACTCAAACCAACATGCTGCACAAAGAGACCCACCTGGCCTGGCCAGCAACGTGCAGCCTCGTTGCTGCACCGGTACTGCTTACATCGAGTGCGGCCACGCCCTGTGTCAGTACAGTAGCGCCACACGATTGTTTGAGACAGCGCCGGGACAATGGCTGCTGATAGTGCAACATGGAAAGTTGTAGTTGTC